CGAGAACGCAGACTGAGATCAGTGCATGTCCGTCTGCGTTCTCGCAAAATCTTGGCCCCCCCAGTGAATCCCAGAGCGCCACTCAGGACCGCGGTGTTCAAAGATCCAGAGATCCCAGGGGTCCTGAGCGGTGCTCGGGGGTTCACTGGGGGCCACAACAGCTAGATTAGCCAAACTACCTGTGGGGCTGTATTAAACCGGAATGCGGGCCGGACTTTGGACATGCCTGGTATAAATGGTTCACCTGCTATGGATAAGGGTTGCAAGGGGGTGTACGCAACGTCTCTGCCTTTTCGATCCGCTGACATACGTCGGAAATGAAGCCTTGGAGAGGGGGCACTATAGCTTTAGGAAAACATATTTGTATTCCTAAAGTTAGTGTTTCTTTAACACCTTAAGGACACATGACATGTCTGACATGTCATTATTCCATTTTATTCCAGAAGTTTGGTCCTTAAGGGGTTAAAGGAACACTCCCACACCCATAACAACTACACCTCAAGTTTTCAAACTGTTCTTAACCCCTTCAGGACGGGTGACCCTTAACGACGGGTGACAGACCTCGTCCGTCACGCGGTAAAATTAACCCCGGATCGCCGCTATCGCGGCGATCGCGGGGTTAATGGTGGTCCCGGTATGCCTCTGCATTAGAGGCATACCGGGAGCACCCGATCAGGCTGCCCAGCACATGTGCTCTGTATACTCACCTACTGGCTCCCTGCACTTCCGGGTTCTGTGTGAAGTGCAGGGAGCCGGATCAGTGATGATCCTGCCCCCTGCTGTTAAAAAAAATAAAGTTAATTTAAAGTGTCCCCCCCCTTACCCATTTTAATAAAAAATTAACCCCTTCCCTGCCAATTGATCACTGGCTACAGTGATCAATTGGCAGGGATTACATTTTACTATGATCTGATTTTTTTTTTTAACCCCTGAGGGTTAATTCTTTTTTTTTTTAACCCTCAGGGGTTAAATTAATTAACTTAATTAATTAAATTATGTTTAAATTATATATTTAGATAGCTGGGGTGGGTGGAAGTTAGTGAGGAATTGGGGGATTTGGCGTTAGGCTAACTAGGGGTTAACGTTAAAAAAAAGTTTTAAAAGAAACTTTAAAAAGTTAAAAATTAAGCTTAAAAAAATGTTTTAATAACATTTAAGTAAAAAAAACAAAAAAAACACACTTTACCTAGTCCAAATAAAATTAACCCCTTCCCTGCCAGTCGATCACTGCCTACAGCGATCAAATAGAGATCACAGTATTATACTGTGATCTAATTTTTTTTAACCCCTGAGGATTAACTTTTATTTATTTTTTTAACCCTCAGGGGTTCAATTTATTTAATTAATTAATTTAAAATATTTTATAACTATATATTTTGCTAGCTGGGGTGGGTGGGAGTTATGGGAAAATGGGGAATTTACTGTTAATGCTGCGTACTGCTAGTTAGGGGTTAACGGTAAAAAAAAAAGCTTAGAAAAATGTTAAATCTGTAAAAAAGTTTTAAGAAAGTTTAGGAAAGTTTAAAAAAATTTATAAGCAAAACAAAAGTTTAAAAACTAGTTTTTAAAAGTAAAAAAGTTATAAAAAGTAAAAAAATACATTTTAAAAACGCTCATTACCACTACACCTGGAACAAACTAGAGAAAAAAATTATCCCACGCCAAGGTTCAAAATATGCCTTTTGAATTACCCCAGGGTGTATTCTTTAATAAATAGTATGTGTTTGTGGGGAAGTTTCAATAACCAACCGTCTAAACTATTCCAAATTGGAACATGGACACAGCGTAAAACTTCAAAGTTTGAAAAAAACTGGAATGGCTGTGTCCCAAATGTGCCCCTCCGATGTCCACACATACCTGGCAAAGGTACATACGGGGGTATTGCTGTACTCAGCCGACATAGCTGAGCAACATATGAAGTATTATACAGTCATAGCACACATAAGGTTTGCAAAATATGCTGCGCAAACTCACTTTGTATGTCAAAAAGGCAGAAAAAAATGCTTATTACCACTACACTTGGTACAAGCTAGCGGAAAAATGATCCCACGCTAAGGTTTAAAATAGGCCTTTTGAAATACCCTGGGATGTCTTCTTTAAGAAATGGTATGGCTTTATGGGGTATTTGGATTATATAGCCTGGTAAAATACTCTAAAATGGGACATAGGCACAGCATAAAAATTCAAAGTTTGAAAAAAACTGGAATGGCTGTGTCCCAAATGTGCCCCTCCGATGTCCACACATACCTAGCAAAGGTACATACGGGGGTATTGCTGTACTCAGCCGACATAGCTGAGCAACATATGAAGTATTATACAGTCGTAGCACACATAAGGTTTGCAAAATATACTGTGCAAACTAACTTTGTATGTCAAAAAGGCAGAAAAAACACTTATTACCACTACATCTGGTACAAGCTAGCGGAAAAATGATTCCACGCTAAGGTTCAAACTATACCTTTTGAAACACCCTGGGGTGTCTACTTTAAGAAATGGTAGGCCTTTGTGGGGTAGTTTGAATTTAAAACCTGCGAAGATACTTGGAAATTGCACATAGGCACAGCGTCAAAATTAAAAGTTTGGTAAAAACGGATATGGCTTGGTCTCCTATATGGCACTGTAGCTTCACAAAATAGTGACAAAGACATTCATTGGGGGTGTATTTTTACTCAAAAGACTTAGCTGAGCATAATTTGGGAGGTTTGAACTTAGTGGCACATATGAAATATACAAAACGCCCAGCAAAAATGCAATCCGTATGTAAAAAATGCACAAAATTATTTTTTACCACATACTTTGGCATATATTGGTGAAAAATGGGGGCATGTTAAGGCACAATATGCACCTTATGAGATACCCTGGAGTGTCTACTTTTACAAATGGTAGGCCTTTGTGGGGGTTTTTTGAACAGTCAAACTGTTATAATACCCCAAATGGAAGCTAAGGCTCATTAAATTCATCTCTCAAAATTCTACTGTGAATACTGAAAATCCTGTATGGCACTGTAACTTCACGAAATAGTGCAAAAGACATACAATGGGGGTGTCATTTTACTCAGCAGATGTAACTGAACACAAAATAAAACTTTGTACAGGAATAGCACACACCAACTTTACAAAATATACACGAGAATTTCTCTGTTATAAGTTTGTGTGTCAAAAACCAAAAAGAACACAATTTTACTCCAATATTTAGCAGAGGTTGGCGGTGAAATGGCTACGTAGAAAGTGTCAAAACAACCTTAGGTAAATAGCCCGTGATGTCTACTTTATATAAATATATACTTTTGTGTGGCAATTTTGTTTTCTTTTATGGCTATTAAGCTTACAAGACAAACATACCAAATTCTAAAATCGCTCCACATTAAAAGTTTATTTTACTCCTTGTGCTTTGTGACCTGTAACTACCAAAAAAAACTTAAAATCCCAGACACATTATATATTCTGTAAATCAGAACAAATAAATACATTTATTTTTAATTACTTTCCTTAACCTGCACTAATTATGCACACATTATTATTGCAAAAACTGTAAAAAAAAAACAATATTTTTCATTTTTTTTGCATTTTTCTGTATTTTTTTTTATAATAAGTAAGCATTTATATATATATATATATGTTATATCAAATTAAAGCCCTTTCTGTCCTTTAAAAAACAGTATATAATATGTGTCGGTGCAATAAATGAGAGAGATGCAAATTGCAGTTGAACGCAAACAGCAAGAAAATGCAAAAATTGCTTGTGTCATTAAGCGTAAGTCAAGCTTCTGAAGCTGTGTCCTTAAGGGGTTAAATGGGAGGGAGCCAGTACACTCCTAGCACAATAATCATTAAAGTGTGCTGTAGTGGGGTAAAAATAAAAATTCTACACCTGCTTACACATGTCAGGCAGTTTCTAAGCAGGTGTAGGCAACCTTCGTCACTCTAGATTTGCCAGCATTATGGATGTAAGAGCATAAAAGGAGATGTAGTCCATGACATCCGGAGTGCTAAAAGTTGCCTACCCCTGCTATAGGGGTTCTGGGGAAAATCAATTAGATGTTTAATGTCAGTATGTAATGTATGCTGTTGCCATACTCTGTGCACCAATGCTTCTAGAAGATTAGATACTAAACTACTCTCGCTCATGCACTGTAGGGTCAACAGCAGATGCCAATTTTATCATCCATAGATGAGTGTGCATGCGTTTTGAACTGCCAGATACCTGTTTCCATCACGCATCACTTGTGATGGTTAAGCATAAGGGCATGTTTGAAAATTTGCCCTATGTCACATTTCACAAAATGAATAAGTAAATAAAAACCCTTCTGACAGTGTTTTTTTCACAAAAGTGGGAATTCAGTAAAATATTAGGGGTCCAGGCACTCCTTGGTTCAAGACAGGCACTTTATTGAGAACCACAACAGCAACGTTTCGACCCTAAAAGGTCTTTGTCAAGCTGAGAATTCAGACTGAATTTCAAATTGAAGTTAAGAACAGCTAAAATAGAAAAAAATATCTCTCAGTTCCAGATAGTCTTTTTTTACCCTACGTTTGCCATTCACGTTGAATTCTCAATTTAGTGAATATTCATTCCACCCATTGTACAGCGCTACGGAATTTGATGGCGCTATATAAATAATAATAATAATAATAATAATAATGTACAGTTGTAGAGTGCCTGGACTTTGAATATCCCCATACAGTCTTTACTGTAAAAAAAAAAAAATCATTACAACTTTAAAAAAAAAAAAAAAAACACTGATTGGCACCTTTCAGCTGGTAAAGCATCACATACTTCCACCCAACCTGCTTATTAAACGCTGTCACCCCTGTCCTCTATGTAACATACTCTGTCAGTACATCTTGTGCCATACCCAGCCCTGAGAGCTACTTCCAATCACTGTATCTACTGCTAAAGCGGACACTTCCCTGGTCTTGTCATTTTGTTCGTTAAAAATTAAGCTTTGTCATACAGAGGGACAAGGAGTTCCGGGGTCAGTGCGTGCCGTCGGCGCGCATGCGCGGTGTTCGAGCGCGGTGACGTCATCGCTTGTTGTTGTTTGGCGCGGGGAAGATGGAGGCGGATGGTGGGGTCTCCGCGCAGCTCCTGAGGGAATTCACCTCCATTACCGGTAAGAGGCGGGCCGGGGAACGCTACCGGGAAGGATGCCAATCAATACACACCCGGTTTGTGGCGCTGGTTACTGATTAAACCGGACAGGAGGGGGTCCAGGCTGCCCTGGAGGAGCTGTGCCAGGGGAGAGGATGGTCTGCCATAGGCACTGTGTATCCAAGTGAGCTGTCACCCAGGCCGGCTAGCTAACCCTGGGATATGGGACCCTACTGCAGGGTGTTAGTACCAGGCCAGCCAGCTCACCCTGGGATATGGGACCCTGCTGCAGGGTGTTAGTACCAGGCCAGCCAGCTAACCCTGGGACATGGGACCCTACTGCAGGGTGTTAGTACCAGGCCAGCTAGTACCAGCTGTCACCCAGGCCGGCTAGCTAACCCTGGGATATGGGACCCTACTGCAGGGTGTTAGTACCAGGCCAGCCAGCTAACCCTGGGATATGGGACCCTGCTGCAGGGTGTTAGTACCAGGCCAGCCAGCTAACCCTGGGACATGGGACCCTACTGCAGGGTGTTAGTACCAGGCCAGCTAGCTAACCCTGGGACATGGGACCCAGCTACCACCAGCTATGGGACCCTGCTGCAGGGTGTTAGTACCAGGCCAGCCTAGCTAACCCTGGGATATGGGACCCCTGCAGGGTGTTAGTACCAGGCCAGCCAGCTAACCCTGGGACATGGGACCCTGCTGCAGGGTGTTAGTACCAGGCCAGCCAGCTAACCCTGGGACATGGGACCCTGCTGCTAGCCAGCCTACTGGGACTGGGCTAACCCTGGGACATGGGACCCTACTGCAGGGTGTTAGTACCAGGCCAGCTATATGGGACCCTGCTGCAGGGTGTTAGTACCAGGCCGGCTAGCTAACCCTGGGATATGGGACCCTACTGCAGGGTGTTAGTACCAGGCCAGCCAGCTAACCCTGGGATATGGGACCCTGCTGCAGGGTGTTAGTACCAGGCCAGCCAGCTAACCCTGGGACATGGGACCCTGCTGCAGGGTGTTAGTACCAGGCCAGCCAGCTAACCCTGGGATATGGGACCCTACTGCAGGGTGTTAGTACCAGGCCAGCCAGCTAACCCTGGGACATGGGACCCTACTGCAGGGTGTTAGTACCAGGCCGGCCAGCTAACCCTGGGATATGGGACCCCACTGCAGGGTGTTAGTACCAGGCCAGCCAGCTAACCCTGGGATATGGGACCCTACTGCAGGGTGTTAGTACCAGGCCATCTAGCTAACCCTGGGATATGGGACCCTACTGCAGGGTGTTAGTACCAGGCCGGCCAGCTAACCCTGGGATATGGGACCCTGCTGCAGGGTGTTAGTACCAGGCCGGCTAGCTAACCCTGAGATATGGGACCCTGCTGCAGGGTGTTAGTACCAGGCCGGCTAGCTAACCCTGGGATATGGGACCCTACTGCAGGGTGTTACTACCAGGCCAGCTATATGGGACCCTGCTGCAGGGTGTTAGTACCAGGCCGGCTAGCTAACCCTGGGATATGGGACCCCACTGCAGGGTGTTAGTACCAGGCCGGCTAGCTAACCCTGGGATATGGGACCCTGCTGCAGGGTGTTAGTACCAGGCCGGCTAGCTAACCCTGGGATATGGGACCCTGCTGCAGGGTGTTAGTACCAGGCCGGCTAGCTAACCCTGGGATATGGGACCCTACTGCAGGGTGTTAGTACCAGGCCGGCCAGCTAACCCTGGGATATGGGACCCTGCTGCAGGGTGTTAGTACCAGGCCGGCTAGCTAACCCTGAGATATGGGACCCTGCTGCAGGGTGTTAGTACCAGGCCGGCTAGCTAACCCTGGGATATGGGACCCTACTGCAGGGTGTTAGTACCAGGCCGGCCAGCTCACCCTGGGACATGGGACCCTACTGCAGGGTGTTAGTACCAGGCCAGCTAGCTAACCCTGGGACATGGGACCCCACTGCAGGGTGTTAGTACCAGGCCAGCTAGCTAACCCTGGGACATGGGACCCCACTGCAGGGTGTTAGTACCAGGCCAGCTAGCTAACCCTGGGACATGGGCCCCTACTGCAGGGTGTTAGTACCAGGCCAGCTAGCTAACCCTGGGACATGGGACCCTACTGCAGGTTGTTAGTACCAGGCCAGCCAGCTAACCCTGGGACATGGGACCCTACTGCAGGGTGTTAGTACCAGGCCAGCTAGCTAACCCTGGGACATGGGACCCTACTGCAGGGTTTTAGTACCAGGCAGATAGTAGTGCCGCTGGTACCACCTAGATTTCAGGTGCCATATGTACCCTTGCACAAAGCCGAGAGATGCCCCCTACTCTACATTACCTTGGTGCAATATTCCAAGTTTTCTGGCAGATAGTGAACTTGTCCACCTTGCCACATCCAACGCTGACCATTGAAACCCATTGCTTGACACTATAAGCACCAAAACATTTTTAGATTGATGAAGCAGTTTTGGTGTATAAATCATGCTTCTGCAGTCTCACTACGCTATTCTCTGACATTTAGGAGTTAAATCACTTTGTTTCTACAGCCCTAGTCAAACCTATTTGTATTTAAAGGGAAACTATAGTGCCAGGAAAACAAACTTTTTTTTTTTTTTTTTTTTAATCCTGGTACTAAAGCTTCCCCCTCCAAAGGCGGAGGAGACCGCATTGTTACACCTTAAGAAAGGTGGAGACATGGCCTACATTGGCACTGGACATACGAAAGGCAAGCTTGGGGACTCTGCAGCGGGATGGACTGCAGAGGGGAAGCTCCCTATCATTATTGGGCTTCTTACCAGGAACAGTGACACTTGGCCTGAAGACCTCTGCCATCTGGGACTGTATCATGCCCGGGGCATAGACTGAACAGATCATTGAGCTTCTGGCTGCATCTCACCTCTGGGGCGGAATACTCATATGTTTTGTTTTTGTTTTTTTAGCACCTAAGCATGGTTACTTATACTATATCTACACTCCACTTAGCTCTGTTCAATCACTGCAGGATTGGGACTTTTGTGAATTAATGCTTTCTTCTGTTTTTTAGTTATATATGTGCGTAATCTGCAGCTTGCTTAAATTTGTTTTGGAGCTAATCCTATATTTTTTGAAGCCTGATTTATTATTTTTATAACATTGCGCACTTACTATGAATGCAATGCCAATGTTATACTATATCTGTTATTGAAACTCTTGGTAATGATGGTGTGACATCGCAGGCTTGTTTGTACTCTTATGCACAACAAAAATATTGACAAGAAGATAGAACTAGATATATAACTAACTGTACCTTAACCTACACATAGCACAAAACCAAATGTGTTGGTGCCTGGAGTATTTATAAAAAAAAAAAAAAAAAACTTGATAAAGAGTAGCTGTCAGTTCTCTAATACTGACAGCTCTGCATTTCCACACACCATTAACCATTATTGGAGCACTTAATGGAGTGAGGAATGCTAAGGAGGTGAGCATAAAACACTTAATTCTTGATCTCTCCTAATGTGTGTGTGCGCGCCACTATTGTTCCATAATGCTCTGAGCTTGCTCATGCTTGTTTGGGCATCTACTGATGAATTGTAGTTAAAAGTGCATTTGTGCTCAGGGGTGTGTGTGTGTTTTTCTTTTTTTTTTTTAAATGGTGTAATTTGTGCATTTGTCCAAATCGCACCAGGAGGAAGTTTAACCCCTTACGGACCAAACTTTCGGAATAAAAGGGAATCATGACATGTCACACGTCATGTGTCCTTAAGGGGTTAAAGGAATGTTCTTGGCACCCCAAAATTTTTTTGCTTAAAGAAGCAGTTTTGGTGTATAAGTCATGCCCCTGTAGTGTCACTACTCAATTCTCTGCCTTTTAGGAGTTGATTAACTTTTTTGTTTCTGTTGCCCAAGCTACAATTCTCCTAAATGTGACTCACACACAGCCAGGTTTCGTTTTCATTCAGATCTTGCAGTACTATTTGTTTATTTAGTACTGTATGTGTTTACTTGGTTTTTATCTGCTGACCTGGTAATTGAAGTTTAAATACATACAGGGCTCATGCAGCCTCCAGACTATTAACAGAACAGGTGATAAGACATTCTAAATTAAATACACTACACAATAAAGTTTAACAATTAGATCTCTGTTTACAGGAAGTGTGCAAGGAGGCAGTGTAAGTCACAGGCAGGGTAGGTGTTTCTAGGGCTCTAAAGGCATTTCCCACTGTTTCAAAGAAAACATTGCAGTTTCTCTAAAACTGCAAAGTTTTCAGCTGTAGGTTAAAGGGCCAGTGCACCAGACCACTTAAATTAGATGACTTGGTATGGGTGCCTATAGTGTCCCTTTAACTTCAAATGATAAAGAATTGACATTTATTATACTAGCAGTCACCTTAAAAATATTTGTAATATTACTCTCATAAAGTATTGAAAAGAAGTAGTTTTTTTTTTATTTTTATTAAGTATATGTAAATTTACACCTCAACCATATCTTTAGTATATGACTGGATCTTTCAGCCATATACATGCACCTTTGTTCAGACATTGTTTGAAAACACATTATCTATGATCTTCATTGCTGCTGTGCAGTGAGTAAAGCAGTGAAGACCATAGAGACTAACTGTTGGTTTTACAACGCTCTCCGACTAATTGTGCATGTATATGGTTGAAGGATCCTATCATATACTAAAGGTAGAGATGAGTTTTTATCTGTACACATGCTTAAAAGGACACTATAAGCACCAAAACAACTTTAGATTGATGAAGCAGTTTTGGTGTATAAATCATGCTTCTGCAGTCTCACTACGCTATTCTCTGACATTTAGGAGTTAAATCACTTTGTTTCTACAGCCCTAGTCAAACCTATTTGTATTTAAAGGGAAACTATAGTGCCAGGAAAACAAACTTTTTATTTTTTATTTTTTTAAATCCTGGTACTAAAGCTTCCCCCTTTGTCAAAGCCCTTCCCCCGTGGTGCAGTAGGGGTTAATAACACCTTATGTCACTTACCTGGGTCCAGCGCCGATGTCCTTTGGCACTGGTTCAGCTCTGTCTATGTTTCTCCCCCGCTGACGTTTGCCGGTTGGGGGGGAGGGGGGAGACCTAATGCATAGTGCATAGACCACCAAAAGTTGTTTAAGCCCTCGGAAGTCCCTCTGGTGGCTGTCTGGTTCTCCACTAGAGATGGAGTTAACACTAGCAGGTAATTATTGCAGTTTATAAAAACTGCAATAATTACATGCTCAGGTTTAAGAGTGATGGTAGTTTGCACCCAGACCACTTCAATGGGCTTAAAGGATCACTACAGGGTCAGGAACACAAACATGTATTCCTGACCCTATAGTGTTAAACCCACCATTTAGCTCCCCTGGGCCCCTCATACCTCCATAAATATAGTAAAATCTTACTGTATTCAAGCTTGAAGCTGTAACTCTGCATGCTGTTTGTCTCAGAAAAAAACAAGCAGTCTGCTGACATCATCAGAAATGGTAGCCTGATCCAATCACAGTGCTTCCCCGTAGGATTGGTTGAGACTGACAATTAGGTAGATCAGGGGCAGTGCCAGCACGATTCAAACATAGCCCTGGCCAATCAGCATCGTCTCATAGACATGAAATGAATCGATGAATCTCTATGAGGAAAGTTCAGTGTCTGCATGTAGAGAGAGGAGACACTGAATGTTTGGATGCATTTTAGGCAGCCATGACCCAGGAACGATCTCTAACAGCTATCTGAGGAGTGGCCAGTAAAGTTATCGCTAGGCTGTAATGTAAACACTGCATTTTCTCTGAAAAGATCGTGTTTACAGCAAAAGACCTGAAGGTAATGATTCTACACACCAGAACAAATTCAATAAGCTGTTTTTGTTCTGGTGACTATAGTGTCCATTTAAGTGGTCTGGGTGCCTACAGTGTCCCTTCAACTTCCCCAGTGTTTCTAAATACTTCCTGTAAAGTGAGATCTGATTCTTAAACTTCCTTTATTGCACAATTTGCTTGAAGTGACAATCCATTTTCTTCATATTTGAAAAAGTGCAGATTTCAATAGAAAGTTACACTAGATTAAACTATACTGGTTAAACACCCCTGGATTTTCAAGGAGAAAACTGGTCCTGTTACTTCCTGGTTCTGTTAGTTTAGTTGCACTGAACTCAAGAGACAGCAATTGCCTTGCAAAGACTTCTCATTAAGCTGCATTGGGAAGTGTGTGATTGGACAGCCACATAAAGTCTGGGCTGGTTTAGCAGGGGAGGCTTTGCAAAGGCCGCACGCAAGACATCTGCACTTTTGCAAGCTATTTTTATAAAGAACTCCAATTAAACATGCATAATTAAATGCATGTATGAGTTCATTTAGGGTATATCTACTATAACGTGTTTCTTATTTATTTTGTATCTAGGAATGTGGAGTCTCCCATTAGAATTTTTTTTTTTTTTTATCTCCTCCTCTGATCATAGCCTTCTAGACTCTGCAGTAGTCTCCTGTTTGTTATTAAAGCTCAATTTACAGAGCAGGGGATATAAACTTCTAAAACAAATTTAACATTTAAATGAAAATTAAATTATTTTTTTCATGCAGGGTATCTGTGTGGGTAGGGTTGCATAAAGAGAAACAAAAGTGATTTAACTCCTAAATGGAAGATAATTGAACAGTGAAACTGCAGGGGAATGATCTATACCAGGCATATGCAACCTTCGGCACTCCAGATGTTTTGGACTACATCTCCCATGATGCTTTGCCAGAAATATGGATGTACGAGCATTATGGGGGATGTAGTCCACAACATCTGATGTGTCAAAGGTTGCCTATCCCTGATCTATACATTAAAACTGCTTCATTAAGATAAAGTTGTTTTGCTGCATATAGTGTTCCTTTAAATCTATTTCATTTCAATATGTGATGAAACGCTTCTTATTTTAAAAATATTTTTGAGTTGACCGTTGTCAATTAAAAATAGTTTTATTTGTAATGTTTCACACTGGACTTGTATGGTTACTGTCATTGCTTTAATTTTTTTATTTTTTTAGGTGCCAGTGAAAATGTGGGCAAGCACATGTTGGAAGCATGTAATCACAACTTAGAAATGGCTGTTACAATGTTCCTGGATGGAGGTAGTATAGCAGAGGAACCCAGTACTAGCTCAGCTGGAGCTTCTTCAGCTCATCCTCCACCTCCTGCAGAGTAAGCAAATTGTATTAACTTTATTGCTGGTATTAGTCTAAAATCCAGTTTTGTTCTATACAATTAAAATCCTTTTTTTTTTTTTTATATTTGTTACTTTTGGAATGATTGCGGATTAGTGTTGTGAATTTCATTGGACCATTTCCCATTATTTAAAAAAAAATCACTCCAGGCTGAAAATTAGCATTTTTGTTAATGTGGGAACATTAAAAAATGCATTTAGTAAAATTTGCACAACAAATATTTTAAATATTTTTATTTTATTTTTCTCCCCATTTTTTCACTGACAAATTGCACTTAGCAGGTTGTCATAGATTTCCGTTTTTAAAACTTCAACCAGCTTCTGGTTTAAATTACCTTTTAGCATGAAGTGCATGTTTCCCTAAGATAATCCTGTATTTCATGCTGTCAACACATCTAAACTATGATGACTTTTCTGTTTTCAATGTTATCTATGCTAACCAGTAGCTGAAATGGAGATTTTCATTAAAAACACAATTGCTCATACAGGGTTAAATAGCACTTCCATAACGTGCACTCACACTCCTGAGCTTTAAAAAAATCTGTTTAGTAGGGGTATACAGGCACAGGGTAATTTGCTGTCTAATGCTAACCTGCATTTTAGTTTGCAATTAATATTATAGTCCTATGTACAATGTGTGTGTGTGTATATATATAATCTATCCCATATACCCACAGCTTTTTGTAGATGACAGTTATAGTTTTGAGTTTTCTGTCAATTGATGTGTTGTTTTTTTTTTTTTTGTGTGTGTTTATAGAGATGATGTTAGAGCACCAATTCCACAGAAACAAGAAATCCTTGTGGAGCCTGAAATGTTTGGTGGTGAGCAAGCTTTATTTTTAAAATATATATGTGTAATGAAGCAAATGCGGAAGAAGAATAGCAAAAGCATCAGTAAACACTCATCTACTCTCCGCTAGATCTTTAGTACATTAGGTATTTTGTATACTTTTATCTATGTATCCATGATAGTGATATGACTACACATATGTCCAGGTGATATATTGTTTTATCACACTTTGGTGGTGTGATTACATGTATCTATTTTCTTTCCTTTTTGTGTGTGCATATATAAGGAACCCTTAAAGTACAAAAAAAAATCTTTGTTATTAATAATATTGATTTTGTTTTTCTCTTAAGCGCCTAAAAGACGGCGGCCGGCCCGCTCAATATTTGATGGCTTCCGGGATTTCCAGACGGAGACCAGTAAGTATCTGTGTATTGCTTATTTAATCCTCTCCCCAACTCTTATTTAAATAAAGTTCTAACCATGGTATGCTAGCCAAACAAATCACTCTTAAGTCATTCAGGAACTGGATTTGCTTTATTTCAAGAAGCAGTAGAGGAATAGAAACATGTAAAGTAAATGAGTCCGGGACACTGTCCATTGATAGAGGAATTCCTACTCTTCTGTTTTCATGACATCAGACACATGAATTTCTTGAAAGTTAATGTAATGCTAAGTAAAACAGTAGTGTCTTCACTCCACTCCTCCCTGACTGTAGAAGTGGCATCATCCACTGAAACTTCCTGTAATGTTTAAAAGCAAAGGGGTAAGCTCACTTTTTCAGCAACATTACATGCATTATATCTGTGACTAGTGGATTTTGGCTGAAAAATTTGTTCCTCTATAGGTGGTAACTAAATCATAACTAGATTATAAATTAGTTTGAGGCTTTATGGACTTCAAAAAAGTTGAAATAAAAACATTTGGACATTTAAGGGGTTCATCTATTCTTTGTCTTAGTATATATTTTGACTGGTTTGGAATTTCAGTGACATTTCAACACCGTCAATGTGAGTATTTTCATAATTTTTAGGGAGACAGATACACTTTAAACGAGTACTGTCACACCCCAGGATTTATGATACTATGTTTACTCCCTATATTTAACAAATATATTTAAAGTACTAAAAACAAAAACAAAATTAAAGCACCACTCCACACCACACCACAAAAGCAAGCTGAAGTTCATAAGATCTGCAGCCTTTGCAAGCTCTTTTAAGATATACCCACGATGAATACATGCATGAAAAATTCTGGGTTGAGATCTAATTTGCTAAACCTTAGTTACAAATTGTAAAACAAGTCAAAACAAATCATCTATAAAATATTTCAATTGGCATGTGATGCTGATTTGTTCTGTGATGTAATTTCTATGACCACAGAACAAAGCGACAATTTATATTTAGGAACTCACTCTGAAGACGTGATACTCCATGCCTTTTTTTTTTTTTTTCTTGTATCCAGTAGTTTTCTTACTCCTTACTCATTTTGTGGTATCTGAAATGATCTTTTGACTTGAGTCATTGGACTAGGATGGAACAATTTTCACTATCCTCTTTGTATCTTCTACTTACGTAATTATGCTTCCTTTTTTCTTTTTCTCCTTTGGGGCGCCGCAGTCCGTCAGGAACAGGAGCTGCGTAATGGTGGGACAGTGGATAAGAAGCTTACCACGCTAGCTGACCTTTTCCGACCACCAATAGACCTTATGCATAAAGGCAGCTTTGAAACTGTAAGTAACAAAGTTATTTCATGACTCTCTAGATCTTATTTGTCAAAGTATATCGGTATGTTTTACACTAGTGTATTTATGACTTTCCTCTATTGGCTACCAGGCCAGATATTTATCTATCTGTCAAAAGAAAGATTACATCAAGCTTTATAGTTTGTCTCCAGCTCTCACAGCCCATTATTGCTGTCCAGACTTCAATGTATTTGTACAGATAAAGAAAATTCCACATTACCTTGGTGGCAACAGAGGCCACATTTACAATTATTTATATAGCACCAACATATTTTGCTGCAATGTACAGTAAGACAAAAAAAAGAAAAGACAATTTTAAATCTAAGAGAACTTGTACAACATACGGGAACAGTTGGTGAAGGGAACCCTGCTCAAACAAGCTCACAATCTAAAGCTATCTCTGAATTCCCAAAGAACATTACACCTCAATCATTTTGCAGTAAGCTGTTGTAGCTATGGTGCTTAGTGCCCCTTAACATATTTAGATAAACTAATTTGAGCCAATTCATTTCCATACATTTCAATTAACAACTTCCATATATATCATAGTTACATTTTTAAGTGTCCTCATCCTTAATTGAGTTTAATTATCTTTTTATAGTCGATTTACAAAAATAAAAACATTAACTGTACTCTTGACTTACAGGCCAAAGAGTGTGGCCAGTTAAAGAACAAGTGGCTTATGATTAACATCCAGAATGTGCAAGATTTTGCATGTCAATGCTTAAACAGAGACATCTGGAGCAATGAGTCTGTGAAAACACTTATTAGAGAACATTTCATCTTCTGGCAGGTAAGTGGCCTCCTCAAAAACATTTCATGCCTTTACTGATGTCTTTTGGATTATTGTCCTGATACAAGATTTAAAAAATAAAATAAAATTTTAAGCTCAACAGCATAATCTGTAGGTATCCTGCAACATCCCAGATCTATTAAATGTTAAATGTAACTAACAATTTGCTGTCCACATCTGTGTATCGTGTATTTTTTTTTTTCGTCACTATTTCATGCCTATCTTTATATAATACAATAAAACGAAAATAAGTGCTCTCTATCTGATCAAAAAAGTTAAGGAGTTTCCTGTGTGAAACAAATCAAGACCGATAAAAACAATTAGGTGAACAGCGCTGGGTATACAGGTTATGTACGTAAAGAGATGAAATTGAAATCCAAAGATGTATATCTTAAAAATGAAAAAGACACCGTAATAGTGCAATATATAATAACAGTGGTGTGGATATTTTATAGTGTCAAAGGAACACTCACGCTTTGTAGAGTTATATAAGCTCTATTTTTGGAGCCTGGACGGAATAATTCCGGTCTATGGATTTCTTTGTGGGTATCAGCACAGTACTGCTTTCAAGTAGATGGAGGTCATTATATGTAAAAGAAGAGAATAAACCCAATTGTATAGTATGTAAGTAAACAATGTGTGAAGAAAGGATAAACCCTACTTACATCAACTAGAGCAATTACCTGCTTTAGTGTGTGGAGCTTTAGGTGGAACAATCCCCACCTAGGGATACACATGGACTCTGAACATCAGCAAAGCACTCTGGATGTGAGGTACAAAAAACGGCTGGGTATATACATTTACATAAAATAGTACTTTATTAATGTAAATTCAGAATAAAATATAAGTGATAAAAAAAACTAAATAAAAACCAGTCCTATAGTATAGTCCTCACTTGATTTGTTTTGCAGAAACTTTATCAAAAGTGAATGCTTGCTGGTCAGGTCCCTGTAGTTTATCTAGTCTCCAGATGATTTCATTTGATTCCGGTGTGATTTGCGACTATTTCCTGTTTCAGTCAGTGTTTTCAACCTCATTTCCGTTTCCTTTATATAATAATGTCAAAATAAGGTTTTCAAATTGCCCACTAGAGGGCATCAACAAGCAAGTGATTTCCAGATCTGCTTTGATTTAAAATGACACTATAGTCAACAGAACAACTACAGCTTAATGTTGTGGTTCTGGTGTCTATTGCCTGTCCCTGCAGGCTTTGCAATGTAAGCACTGCCTTTCAGATAAACTGCAGAGTTTACATTACTGCCTAGTAACACCTCTAGTGGCAGTCACTTAGACAGCCAATAGATGTGTTGCACAGTATGCAGTACTGACATTCAGTGTCTCCACACTCTGCTTGGAGACGCTGAGCGCTCCCCATAGTTAGGTATGATTTAATGAGATATGAGCTCCAATACTTGAATACATTCATTCAAGAGGTATGAGATTCAAGCCATTAATTCATAAGAGGTTGGAGATCCAACACAATAAAACACAGTAAGTAAATGAACCTATTGTGTTCACTGAAAATCAGTAGGCTGTAATGAATGAAACCATTATTTTGGTCATTTCTTTAACTCATGAGTTGGAACCATTAACCTACCACGATGTCTTTAACAATGCTTGCAAGCGATCCTCCAGGGTAGATTCATATCACCAGTATATTAAAGAATAATATAAATCATGCATTCGGAAAAAAAAGGTGTATCTTTTAGATGTTCTGTAAGCATTGGTCCTCTTTACATCTGTTTCAGTAAAGAAGTAAATGGGTACTTACAGCTAGGGAAATTCATCAGATTTTATTTTTTATATTATAGTCTCTTTATTTCCAATACATACATTTAAAGGAACACTCTACTGACTGCCCAAATGGGCAATTCTTTTTACAAATCACTGTTTAGTAGATAAATCTGCAATGAATACATACATGCCTTTTCATGCATGTATTCATTGGGGGTGTATCTGAAAACAGTTTACAAAATCTGCAGCCTTTGAAAGCCTTCTTCTCTTTCCCCTGAAGAGACTTTCTCTTCACATGGCAATAACATATCAGAGGCTGGGCTCCCTCTGTGCATCTGCTGCGTGTGTTCACACATGAGCAGCATATTGATCTAAGGTATGTGAGGAGAAGGTAACAGAAGCAGAAACACTGCCCACTGTGGCTATTTGACAGCAGGGGGTGTTTCACTACTTATAAAAAGTCACTTTTATAAACTGTTATTACTATGGAATACTCACTCGTAAAGCATTTGAGCAAGCTGAAGAGCTTTATTGGTGTAGAGTCCTTTTAAGTAAAAAAATAAAAACCTCCTTGTCAATTGATAATACTGGCTTACACTTATTAGCGTTTTAGATTTATATAGTGCCAACATATTCCACATCGATTTTACTATATTACACTTGCTCTTTAAGGGCAGCCATCTTTTGTCTTAAAGCCCACTTACACGGTCAGAATCCATGCAGGTAGCTGAAATTTAGTGTTCATAAATCCTGATGTTATGTACAGGCATCTGATATCTGAAAAAAAACACAATTACAGCCATTCAAATTGTGCATCGTATTAGGTTTGATAAGTTGGGATTTTAACAAGATTACTCAAAGATGGCCACCCCCATGGAATTTGGCAATAAAATAGTTTTTTACGTTGCGAATATATATATGACTGTATAATCTACAGAGGTTACATTAGTGCAATATTTTTATTTTCAGTCACATTAAAAATGAGTGTTCCTTTTAACATGAATGCAAAGTGATTCCCCTGCTCACGTATAGAAGCCCATGAAAGTTTCTCAAATAGTTTAAAACAGGTCTGCACAGTTTATGTACAGGTGAGGTTTCAGTGCAGCAATTGTCCGATTCAGGGAAGGAACAAACATGGGCTCGGAATGGTTTTTTTGTGCTTTGTGTTCTCTTTAAAAATCAAATTTAGACCTTTAAAGTGCTATTTCTACATTTTCACAAAGGAGCTCGGAATTATTTGTTAACATATTAAACCTATTCCATTTTAAATATAATAATGAATCAATTTGAATACAAAACAGGAGATATCACCTTACTTATTCCAATTCTATCCATTAGTAAACCATATTTTCCAACCAATTTGTGACCTTTTCGAGTGAATCAAATGTGTGCGTAATCCCATCTTTAGTAACTATCAGTTTGGTTGGGAAGCCCCACCGGTATTTTAAATTATTTTCCCTTAAGCGCAAAGTAGCTGGCAGGAATTGCTTCCTCGCTTTTCTTGTCTGGAAAGACAAATCCAGGAAGACCTTTATATATCATTAATTTGCCTTGATCTCTTTCAATTTGTCTTGCCGCTTTTAGAATTTTTTCTCTAAAAGAATAGGAGTGACAAGCAATGATTGTGTCTCTTGGGAGGTCAGCTGGAAGTGTTCTTGGTTTGTAAAGTCGATGTGTTCTTTCAAGAAAGTCCACTTTATCATCAATATTTATTTTAAGAGCTTTAAAAAAACTCAGAGAGGTAAGTTGCCAAATTATCTTGTGAGATGGATTCAGGGATCTTTCTTATTCTCAAGTTATTTCTTCTGCCTCTTTCTTCTATATTTATGGTTCTCTCTTCAAGATAATTTATCTTTGTTTGTTGTTTCTCAATAATCTCACTTTGCTTCTGTAGAAGAAATTCTAGATTTTCTATTTTTTGTTCGTTGACTTTAACTTTTTGTCCGATCTCCAATATATCTTTCTTTAAAGCGGCAAAGCTCCCCTGCACTTCTATTTTTATTTGTTCCAACTGTAGATCTAAACATTCTTTTAAGTACACTGGGGTGATCATTTGTCGTTCATCTGAGCGTTCCTTTACCTCAGTATCGCTGAAATCTGCAGTTTCCTTACTTAAGGCAGCTTTATTTGGAGTTGATATCTGAGAGATTTCTAAGGTGCTTTTATCTGCTGGGGCATTAAAAAAAATTAGAAAGTCTCTTTTCCTGTTTATCTTTTTTTCCCCGGTCTTTTTTGGGGGAAGGTTTTAAATCCAGCCTTTGGTCAGCTGTTTTCCTTGTTGCCATTTTCCGGGTCTGATTTCCCTCTATTTTCTAACACGTATTTTATTGGGGAGCTACGTTTAGCAGAAATGCCCTATCAGACGTTTCAAGTTTTTACCACTTTTAAGGAGGTGTTAAATTCTTTAGCTGTTTCCTTCTTATTTCTTTTCCTCCTTTCTTGCTATCCTTCTTTCTCTATCTTCTTTACACAATTCTGTTTGTACACCGCTTGGCTTCTCCACTTACAGCTTCTCCACTTCAGTACTTTCAGAGCTTATTATTGAGCAGTGTATGTCCATATTTTTTTTTAATTTTTTTTTTTTTTTAATTTGTATTTTATTAGAGGTTTAGTACTCATAATACAACAGTGTCATAGTATGGGAAATGTAAAGAACTGCAAAACAAAGTTTCTGTAACAGTCCATGATGTCATTATTAAAACGCCTATTGTTGGTTACTCTGCAACCTCAGGTTCCTTGTGACCCTTTGTTACGCCACTTCTCAAGCCCGTATTGATGCAGACAGTCCCGCTTTCAAGGGTGTTTGTGGGGTCTCCAACTTTGCGCTCTCTGTGAGCCAAACATCTGGGAGAGGAATGTCTCTAGTTTTAGCTAGAATGGTAATACATCTGGGATTGGATTGGATTTGATTTCTGGGGCTTATAACTTGGTGTATGGTTTATCTTATCAGACTGGTGCCGGGTGTATGCTCTATCACCTGGGAGTTGGTGGTGTGCTAAGTGAGTGCTGTGGTAAGCCGCTTAGGTGAGTAATTGTCTCCTCGGTGTCATTGCAATGTGGTGACTCTTTGTGGGCCCTGGTTTGCTCTGTGCGGCTTTTTGCTTCCCGGTGTCGGCTTCTCTGGGTTCTTTGTTTTCCGCCTCTTGTCTTCTCAGCTGGCGGAGAAAGTGTGCCTGGTCGTCCGCGGAGGTGAGTGTGAGTGTCCGATCTCCCTTCATTGCTGTTAGGGATCCATCTGCCCCCCATCGGTATTTGATTGCCTCCGCTCTTAATTGTTTAGCCACTGATGCTAGTTGTCTCCGCTCCGCTAGGGCTGCGAACGGGAGGTCTCCATAAAGGGACACTGTGCTGCCTTCGAATTGAACGCTTCCCAGTTCTCGGGAGCGAGCCATGATCGCTGAGCGGGTCTGAATATCTTTCGTGACCGCTATGACGTCCCTTGGGGATTCTGCTGGCGCTGCTGCGGCTTTGCGTATTCTAAATGCGGTTACTATTTTGTCTGGTTCGGTGTGCAGCCTTATTTCCATTCTGGTGGTGAGGCGGGATATGTACCTCAGCAGGGCTTCGTCCCCAATGGTCTCTGGTATGCCTCTGATGCGAATGTTTCGCTTTCTGTGGCGAGCTTCTAGCGTTGTGACCGTCCTCTTGAGCTGCTGGACCTGTGAGCGCAGATCCTGCACAGCGTCATTGGAGATCTGTTGCTGGGCTTCTCTGGCGCTTTCTCTGGCTTCAACTTCAGTGAGCCTCTTCTGGATGACCCCCATCTCCTTCTTTGTGGCCTGCAGGTCTGCCCTCCACACCTCCCTCATTTCCTCAAGGAGGTCTCTGATGTCCCTCTTTGTAACTGGGGATGAGTCTTCCTCAGATTCAGATGCCTGACACTGGGCTCCGTCTTCTGCCTGAGATGAGGTGGGGCTGTCTCTGCCCTCCTGGGAGTCATCTGAGGCTTCCTCCTCGCTGGGTGCGGCGGGCGCCATTTTGGCTGGTGCCGCTTGTGTAGGCCTCATAAAGGACAGCCGAATGTCGGGCGCTTTTGGCGGTTCCGGCAGACGGAATTTCTTAGTTTTTCGCCCCATGTCAGTAGCTGTGCGGGGGCTATAATTGTGGTGTTTGGAGGGTCCCGTTTGCGGGTTTCTGGCCTCTATTGTATTCTCTGAGGAATGTTTTATTTTTAATGATTACAAGACTCTGTGTTTTACCTGCTAGTATGCCAGCGATATCTTTTTAAATATGATGCCACGGCATGACTTTGTTTATGACTCACTTTTATGAGGGTTGCAAGGCATGTGGTATAATCATAGAAATTAGAGGAACTGTTACATTACTCTATTTGGTTAAAAGGTGATTTACAACAGTGCCTGTCAAACTACACAAATTGGTTTAAATGCCCATGTGAAAGCAGTGTATCTAATGCTTCCCCATGCTTTTTCTAATGCTTTCTGTCATGTGACAGAAGCACCTCTAGTGGCTATCAGGAAGACCGCCATTGGAGGTTGGATTTAATCCTCATATGCTAAAATTTGAGTTTCTTAAAAACCAAAAAAAAAAAAAAAAAACTGCAATGTTTTACATTGCAAGGTTACAAGGACAGGGCCACTGCCTCTTGGGTGACTTTTTTTTGCCTTTTGTGTAGAGCGTAAAATTGTGGAAACTCTGAATCTGTTCTTCTGTTGGAAAAAACAACCCATTTTTTATTGATTGGGGATTTGTTTAAATTGTTTTGGTTTGCATGTATTTCATCCATGATAAACTGTTTGGATGAACCTCAATGGCACAAAAATTGCCCAGTCAGGTTATTGCCAAATATGAGAAGTAACCAATAGAGGTAAAAATAATAAAGTCATATAACTTTATAAAATAGATACCTGTAAATACAGTTTTTTTGTTTGTTTTATTTAGTTTTGATTCTTCTTTTTCCCCCTCTGTTGGTCAGTTGTCACTTGGTCTGTGAATAAAAGAAACATTTAGTGGCTGTACCTCACCCATCATCATTTTGTTGCATCAATCAGTCGTAGTTACCAAATATACCAAAAAGTGCTTATGCGCTTAAGTAATAAGTGCAAGTCTCGTGTGTGTGTATATATATATATATATATACTACAAATGTTTAAAGAATAGTTGTTGTTTTTTTTTTTTCATCTGTTTGTGTGTTTTTTTTTTTGTTTTTTTTTTCATCATAACTCTGATTCTGTGACCACTCACCTGACTGCAAACTAATTCTGACCATGGGATGTGGTTAAAAAATAGCAGTCACTACTCCATGTTATATATGAGCCATTTTTTGTCAGAATGTATCAGAAGGCAGAGCTTTATACAACTTCTGTCTCCAGTGATCTATCATTGCTTACATGAGAGATGATCTACAGAGCGTCTCAGTGTTACGTGAAGATGAAGCTGAGATGGAAGGACAGAGTGCTTTATATAATTACATCCTATTAGCCACATCAACAGGCCCCACCATTGAAATGGAAATACCACCTGATGAGGGGAGTTTGTTTGCACTAAATGTGAAAACCCAACAAGTGAAAATGTCAATTTATCTTGACGCAGACTGGTACAGCTGACACTTGTAACATTATGATATATAGTAAAGGAGGGAGAGGAATAAAAACCGCAGTAACTGAGCCTTATATTCGTGGGGAAGAGAAGATTTTTGCCTCGATAATTGGTTTTATAATGAATCTGTGCAATCTACGTTATTACAGGTTTACCATGACAGTGAGGAAGGGCAGAGATATATCCAATTCTACAAATTGTCAGACTTCCCATATGTTTCTATTCTGGATCCTCGTACAGGTAAGTAATTAGTCTGTTGAATTAACTGGTAGACCGTTCATGCCATCTTCACCTTTTATGCTGACTCTGCCTCTTGCTGCTCGTGCACAGGACAGAAAATGGTGGAATGGCACCAGCTGGATGTGAATTCCTTTCTGGAACAAGTGACAGGATTTTTAGGAGAACATGGGCAACTTGATGGACTCTCCAGTAGCCCTCCCAAGAAACGATTACGGTCTGTAAGTATTATACAGCTGGTTGGGTTAATAGGTGAAACTGTGTTTAAAGCATGTGTAACTCAAACGTGTGTAACAATGTCTATATTTCATAATCCCTTAAAGTACGTAATGTCATTTCTAGTAATTTTGTATTAATATGTTTATATAAATATATATTAACATTATGACACTTTATTTTTTTATTTTACACAGATCTTTAAATACTGTGACTAGCTTACTTTTTTTTAAAGGGACTTCAAGCCATCCAAGCGACTTCATCTCTATGAAGTTGTCTGCGTGCCATGTCCCTTTCCTTTTAACCCTGCAATGTAAATCACTGCAATTCTGCAGAAACAGCAATGTTTACATTGTAGGGTTTAAATGCCTCTAGTGACTGTCACTCTGCAGCAAGTAGAGGAGCTTCCGCAAAATAAAAAAAAAAACTCTGCAATTTCAATGATCTCATAGAGACCAACAAATTGGCTCAGCGAGGTGCTTTGAGATCATCCTATAAGGAGGCAGGGATAGTCTCAGAGAGCAGCATGGCGTTGGATAAGAGATAATTAAAATACCTTTTTAACTCTTGTGGGGGGCAGTCACCTAAATGGAGACTTGGACACTTGCCTTATGAATGCACTATTATATTCCTAACACTATTGTGCTAGTTTACTTTTAAAGGGACACAAAAGAATGTTTTTTGGGGTTTTTTTATTTTTATTTTTTTTATTGAAAGTATATCAAAAATAATAAATTAAAAATAGCAAAAACTATACTCATGATTAAAGTTCCTGCATAAAACAAAACCCACTCTGGCTAAACATAACTTTTTATAGTACTACAGATGCTATCACCCAGAAGTGCTATTTGGACACCACGGTGGTTTTTGGACATTGTAATTGCACTGTTCACTATAGAACTACCGAAAAGAAATTTAACAATTTCTATACTACATGTGAGTACATGGAGTGCTCTTTTGAGTTTTCTGCTTTTTTGTTTGTTTTATTTATTATTTAAAAAAAAAAAAAACTTTTTGAAAGTAAATTTGTGATATTTAGTTGAGATCTTTGTCTCCCAGGAAAGCCTTATTGATGCAAGCGAGGATAGCCAGCTGGAAGCTGCTATTCGGGCATCGTTGCAGGAGACTCATTTTGACTCTGCAGCCAACAAGCGAGCGTCTCGATACGATGAGGAGTCTGATTCAGAGCTGTACTCTGGCAGTGAGGAGTTTATCTCTGTTTGTGGATCTGATCACGAGGACGAGGAGAAACCTTATGGGGAGTCATCTTCTGAGCAAGATATCTGCAACACCAAAGCCAATAAGTCCCCTCTTAGAGACACATGCAATAATAGAGATGAAACAGAAAGAATACAATCGGTCGTCGATAAAACAGAAGATGATGTGTCAAACCATTGGTCACCACCACCAGCAGACACAGTTCAGACTGACACATTTCCTGAATCACCTGGCTGTTCAGCTGACGGTACAGATAATAATGGTGAGTTTGACTGCTTTCAACCACCTGCATACACACCCTCCCCCTCCCCCAGCTGTAACAATTTGCTTTATACGTGCATTTTATTAATACTGCCCATTGTTTGCTTGTGAACTAGATTAGTGGATAAGAGTAATTTGCAGTATCCCACAGTCACTGCTTCAACTGAGCCTTTCATCCAAAGTCAATAAACCGCAGAACATATTTTAAACTAATGTAAAGCTAAGGGGCAGTTTTCTGGTTAAATGCGTTTGATATTATACACTAGGTTTTAATAATTATTTTGTAAAATTTCCATGAGTTATTTGTTTTGTACACATGAAATTAGTCAGAATCACTGATGGGAGCATTGTATTTATATTTGGCCAAAAACATGCATCTAGTTGCTGACGAGCAGAAAGCCACTAGAGCAGCTTCCTCCTTTAATCTTTGTTTTTTTGCAGGATTTCAAGTTTGGCATTATCATTCACAGCGTGAAAAGGCTAAACACAACTAATGCTTCTTATAGTGAAGCATGATTCGGTTATTCTCTGTGAAAAGCTTTGGATTGGCAGATCGCATGGATTGCTATTCATGTGCTGTGACCTCATTGCTACTCAGAAGCATTGGATTGGACAAAAGCTAACTATATTGATTATGATATAACCAGAGGAGATTTAGCTGCTGCCAGCATTCTTCTGGAATAATGATAAATGGAAAATCATTTTTAATTACTATTTGTTTTAAAAAGATTGGAGGGGACTAATTAATTTTTATCTTGAAAAGTTGGTTAGAGGGATCCTATAGTGTCAGGAAAACAAACTAGTTTTCCTGGCACTATAGGTTTAATAGGTCCCCCCTCCCTTGCGCCATCCACCCCCTCCTGCAGGGCTGGAGGGGTTAACACCACTTCAGACACTTACCTGAACCCAGCGCTGATGTCCCTCTGTGCTGGGTCAGGCTCCACCCACAGTCCTTCCCTGCTGACATCACCGGCGGGGGAGACCTAATGCGCTTGCGGGTCATACCTCCTCATAGGGAAGCATTATTTAATGCTTTCCTGTGGGAAAAATCTGATGCTGGAGGTCAGGCTTTCCTAAAGCTTTCCTAATGGGAAAGCATTGAATTGGCAAAAAATCTGCCATTTTAATGGTCTCAAAGGGGGCGGGGCTGGCGGACCCACCTGGCGCTGGAAATAAGGTGAGTTTTAAACTTTTCTTATAGAGGTGCTAAGGGGGGGGGGCAAGCCACCTAAATGCACCATAGAGTCAGGAATACATGTTTGTGTTCCTGACCCTATAGTGATCCTTTAACAGAAAAGGGTCGATTCTGGGATGCTGGCTTTCTACGCAGAGTTGCAAAATAAAAGCCATATCTTGAACTGGACAATAGAAAAACAAATAAGGATGGGGAAAAGGACACAGACTGGAAAACAGTGTTATCTACATACTAACCGAAGTTTGATGTGTTCAATCACAGAAGATGAACACAAGACTGAAGTGCTTGTGGAAACAGCTTCAGGAAGAAGCCCATTAAACCAGTCCAACTTGTGGGAGTTGCTTCAGGAAGCATGGGTTGAAATCTCTTACCTCAACAAATTGGCAGCCAGAATGCCAGTCTGCAAGGCTGTAATTGCTGCACATCGAGGTTTTCTTAATTATTTCTAACCATGTCTAATTATATTTCCTATTCAGACTCATTTCATGAATGTTGTTATGCAAATTAAGGCAATTTCTGAGTGACCTCAAGCTTCTAAATGTCAGTTTATTCAGCAGATTTTGATCCTAATTGAGCCATTATAACAAGTTTTAGTATTTTAGCTTTCCCTACTTGAACTCCTTACCAAAACTTTGTGACTGGTTTATGTATGCGCAAAACAAATATAGGATTGTGAAACAACAAAACTTCTGCATGTGTGTTTATTAATTAGACGATCTCTTACCTTTTTATTAGATTTAGGACCAAAAGCTAAATTAATGTTGCGGTATCCAGATGGGAAGAGGGAACAGATTACATTACCAGAAAAGGCCAAATTACTGGTAAGTGAATCTGCAATTTATATTTGTGTTCACTGCTGCCAGAACCACAAACTGATCTCTAAGCACCCTATGCTAGAATTAAATGTCTTGCTTATTTGGTATTTGCAGTATGAGAATCTGTCTGGTATACACTCTTTGTTACTAAGGAATTATTCCTTAAGGGGTTAAGTTATGTTTCTCTATTAAATGTGTATTATGATCCTGGGAAAGCATTTACCTTCTACAGATATATATAGAGAGAGATACACACACATAGTTTTAACACGTTATTCTTTGAAGACAAAATTCATTTCATACTCCAACAAACCGTTTTATTTGGAGGAAGAATTGGATTAATTTCTGTTGAAAGTGATACATGCGGCAATAGCTGTTGCAGATAATTTCATCCTTGACTTATATTAGTGGTTTAATGGATTAAAAATTCTCCTTATTGGGTCTCTCATATTGTTTAGGCCGCTTTGCAGCTGACATGCAAACCAGTAATGTACTTGGACCTTTATACCCATTCACAATATTTAAAGGATCACTATAGTGTCAGTGTTTTCCTGACACTATAGTGCCCTCAGGGTCCACTTCCCTTGGCGCTGAAGTGGTTAAAACCCCTTTAGCCACTTATCTTAATCCAGCGTCAGGCTCCCTCAGCGCTAATGACCTCTCCTCCCCCACCGATGTCACCTCTCGAGTGGAGCAGAATGTGCATGCGCGGCAGGTGCCGTGCGTGCATTCAAACAGTCCATAGGAAAGCATTTCTCAATTGAGCAATGAGATCAGTGCACCACAATGTTATTAAGCTGAAGTGGTTTTGCAACTTAGACTAACCATTGCATGATTTCAATTGGTATGTGCACAATTCTAGTAATGGCTTTACAAATTAGTATACCATTTTCATGTTATCTTAATTTGATAGATTTTGCTTGAGCTGCCACAGTGGTCTTTAATACTACTGTTTGGATTTTTAGAGATGTCCTGAAATACCGATTTGTTTGACAGCTAATGCGATGCATTTTCTACAAGACTCATCTAGGGGAGTTTCAATAATGGGGCCAAAGAAGGGGATGAGAGAAACTCATTGACAAAACTGCATCCTTACCTTTTCCAATTCTGCAGTTTTAAAAATACATGTTTGAAAAATAATCATTAATATTTTGGTTTTGCTTTCGTTGTACCTTTCTTGCAAAATTCATTAAACAATGCAGCCTTTTGTTTAACATAACATTCATACTTTAACATTGGAATTTCACTAAATTCCAGTTTGTTTATATGTTAACATTACAATAACGTTACAATTTTGTTGAACCATTGCAATTCTTTTTAGTTAATAACTGAAGTCCTCTCTTCTGTCTCCTTTTCTCTAGGCTTTGGTCAGACACGTGCAACTTAAAGGGTACCCCAATGAGCGCTTTGAGTTGCTCACAAACTTCCCACGACGGAAACTGTCACACCTGGACTATGAGGTCACGTTGCAAGAAGCTGGATTGTGTCCACAAGAGACTGTTTTTGTGCAGGAAAGGAATTAACATCTCTTTAACTCTCTCTCATTTTCACAAGTCCATCAGTTATGGCCCACCCAATTGATTTAGGACCCATCATTGCTGCGTATTTGGGGGAAACTTTTCCTGACTGGTCCTTCCACTTCTCTGGCTCATTGTCACAGCACTACAGAGAAAACACTGTGATTCAGATGGAGCCAAACTGTTGTGGTGGAAACATCTCGTCCAACTTTTTGTTTTTTCCTACAGATGTTTTTTCCAGGAATTCTTTATCATTGTTATTGTTTTCACTTATTTTTGTATTTTATTATATTATCTTCCATACCTCATGAAGCAGTGCAGGATATCCCCATAAAAAGGTTCAAGCTCAGATTTAGGGATTTGGGTGATCCATATTCTCTCTCCACTGCATTGGAAACCGAAGTACAGTCTATGCAGCCGTGAGTCCATATTGCTTATTAAACTTTGTTTCTGAAAACAGAAGGAGGTATATCTGTTGTTGGTTTTCCCCCCTCTTTGAACTTTGTTGACTTATATTTAACCTGCTGGGAACCAAATATTATTTAATACTAAATGTGTTTCTTGGTATTTGTTAGAAAAGCCATTATAATCTTCTATTAACAACTGACCTCTTGTTATATAAGCATTCGGATAACACAAAACTATCCCAAAGCTTTATGCTTTGCCATGAAGACCTTTCTCTAGACCAAGAATTTTTTTTAGACGAGTGGGTCTTAAATTTTAAACTTTATTTTATTTTTTTATGTGTTTTTTTTAATTTATTTTTAGCAGGGACCCAATTGTATGTTAGCTTGGCAAACCATTCCTGATTTGCAAAATTAGCTTTATGACCCATGTTACAAATTGAATCCATTAAATAAGTATCAATATTTAAAACTAACGATAAATTTAGATTAACCTTTGCACAAGAAAAGCAAGATATTGCAGTCAGTAACTTACTACAAACAACGACCTGGGGTCTAATACTGTGTGTCTAGTCTAACTTGTAGGTAGCCAATAAAATTCAAACAGGACCATTTCAGTGTGCCATCCCAGGAACTAACAGCCAATGTCTTGAACAATAAGAAAAATAACAAACTGCTCTAGAATTCCACGGCAGTGGTTCCAGAATATTAAAAGACCACTATAGTGCCAGGAAAACATACTCGTTTTCCTGGCACTATAGTGCCCTGAGGGTGCCCCCACCCTCAGGGTCCCCCTCCCCCCGGGCTGGATGGAGAGGAAGGGGTTAAACTTACCTCTTTCTCCAGCGCCAGGCGGGGAGCTCTCCTCCTCCTCTTCGGCTGAATGCACATGCACGGCAGGAGCCGCGCGCGCATTCAGCAAGTCCATAGGAAAGCATTCACATTGCTTTGCTTTTGACTCTGGCGTCTTCTCACTGTGATTTTCACAGTGAGAAACGCTGAAACGCTGAAGCCCTCTAGCGGCTGTCAGTGAGACAGCCACTAGAGGTTGGATTAACCCTAACATAAACCTAGCAGTTTCAGAGAAACTGCTATGTTTATAGAAAAAAGGGTTAACCCTTGATGGACCAGGCACCCAGACCACCTCATTAAGGTGAAGTGGTCTGGGTGCCTATAGTGGTCCTTTAATGTCCCCATTTTGTGTGTATATGTATAAATATAAAAATAAACTAAGCAAAGTATGTATTAGGATAACCTCATATGTAGCAGTTGCTTTAGTAAAGTAATTGTATCATCTCAGTAGTATTTTGAAAATAAGTCATAAAGAAATAAGAACTTCAATTATTGTTGTTAAAGCTCGCTGTAGTGATTTATGATGCTTGGAGTTCTCTTGATCCCCCTTCCCAATGTAAATTCTCTATCTATTTGCTAATGGCTTGACAACTTACCTGGCGCCTTCTGGGAACAAGTCATCCTTGAGCTAAAAGCTCCGGCACAAAGCTTTCATTAGCTCGCCTAAGCCCTGCTATGCATGCTATGCAGGGACAGCTCATTGGCTGAGAGCTGAGCTGGCTGAGCCTCAGTGAGCTAGTCACTGCACTGCCAAGTTTAGCTCAGTACAAAGAGCTTTCAGCTATCATGGGGGTTAGAAAACTGACTACTTACATGGGGCGTGCACACCATGCCACTCCTGGCATCATAAACAAGGGTACTGTAGTGGTTATGGTGCTTGAAGTGTAACTATATAATGTGAGTTCCCTTTTCTCCATTAATTTGGTTTTACAGTTGGTTAACAATATGTTGCACTAATTTACTATAAATTATTTTCTAATACCTTTAGTATAAGTTAATAAATATCCTCTCACTTCAGAATATAAAAAAAAGATATAGTTTCTTGACTTGTAATTCAGCAACGCTGAATCTTATAAAAACAATTTCCTCCATGTTGCTGGCTTTATTTTATTGTATCTTTTGTAACCTAGCAACACACTACTAAAACAGTGGAGGTGTTTGTTTAGACTGCAATCCATTAACTTAATTAAAGTGATGTGGTCGCTTCTGGAGTCATATAGTAATTGCAAAGATTCTCCAAAGGTATCTGTATTGTTGCAATTGTGGAGGTGGCAGGTGATTATTTAAAGCATCATATCTACTACAGCTTAAAGGGACACTATAGTCACCAGAACAACTACAGCTTATTGTATTTGTTCTGGTGAGTAGAATCATTACCTTCAGGCATATTGCTATAAACCCGATCTTTTCAGAGATAATGCAGTGTTTACATTACAGCCTAGTGATAATTCCACTGGCCGCTTCTCAGATGGCTGCTAGAGGTGCTTCTTGGGGCAGTGCTACACAGTGAGCAGCACTGCCATTCAGTGTCTCCACCCTCTGCATGCAGACACTGAACTTTCCTCATAGAGATGCATTCATTCAATTCATCTCCATGAGGAGATGCTGATTTGGCCAGGGCTGTGTTTGAATTTTGCTGGCTCTGCCACTGATCTGCCTTGACAGTCTCAGCCAATCAGGAAAGCATTGTGATTGGCTCACAGAGTCACTTTCTGATGCCAGGCAGGTCAGGGACAGAGGCAGCAGCTGCAGACTTGAATAAAAGTAAGATTTTACTATATTTAGTGAGGAAAGGTGGGGCTAGATGGTGGTTTTAATACTATAGTGTCAGGAATACTTGTTTGTGTTGCTGACACTATAGTGTTCCTGTAATGTTGTGGTTCAAGTGGAAAGCCGGTGCCCTTAAATGATTATACACCCTCTCCTTCCACTTGCCTTCCTCCAGTTTGTTCTCTATCCTTATAGTCTGTTTTTTGCCATTCTGTAGGAATTTGTTGACTGATGGATTATGGGAATGTTATATTGGCTTATCAATTGAAATGGAACTTTGCTTTAGCTCCACCCATTGCAAAAGAACACACTAACCATAAGAAAAAGTTTAATTTACAAAAAATTAACACACAGAAATAGACAAAAATTATTACATTCAAAAACAAAACTTTATAAGTGGCAGAACCATGGGGTAGCCTTTATTTATAGTATAAGTTTAAAGGTAGATTTTAAGATTGTTCCTTAACATATACAGTGTATACAAAGAACATCTTATGATAGTAGAAAAAGTACAACTCCTCTGTCACATGATGTCACACTTCCAACAGAACATTTGTTTATAAGGCAAATCATGGTTATTTTTATTTATTTTTTGGTAATGTACATCAGTGATCTATTCCAGAATGCTTAAATTGGGAGGATATTTGGTACTAGGGGCGGACTTGCCCATTACCCACCATATTTAAAAAGACTGCCTAAGCACTATTGCCGCCATGGCTTATTGCACAGGCAACCTTCGGCACTCCAGATGTTTTGGACTACACCATTATGGGTGTAAGAGTATTATGGAGGATGTAGTCCACAACATCTGGAGTGACGAAGGTTGCCTATCCCTGTGTAGTTCTAGGGCAAGTATGCTGTTGGTGGATAATCCTCTTGAGAGACAGACCTTTACAATAGTCATTCATTTGCCATTTTGATAAAAATGGAAGCAGACTTGTCATAGCGTGTCTGACACTTTTGCATCTTTATTTTCGGTGAAATGTATTAATTTTTCTACAACCTTTTAAAATGGAAAAATGGCTAGAATTTCTGAAATGTAAAAGAAAACCGATGGAATTTACTGTATTACTATAAGAAAACTGACACTTTTTTTTAGATCACATTAATAAATACAATCAGAATAATGAAGGGATTTAAGTCACTTTTCAGTACACTTTGATAAAAATCCCTGAATGTCTGAAAATTGCATCTGTCATTCCAGAATTATTGAACTTAAAGGACCACTATAGTGCTAAGAAAACAAACTTGTTTTCCTGCCACGATCGGGTCTTTAGGTTCCCCCCACCCTCAGGGTCCCACTCCCGCTGGGCTCAAGGAGACTGAGGGGGTTAAACGGGCTCCCTCGGCGCTAGTGGGAACTCTCCTCCCGACGTCAGCGCTGAATGCGCATGCGCGACAAGAGCCGCGTGCGCATTAAGACAGTCCATAGGAAAGCATTTCTCAGCCAGCTTATTCTCACTGATTTTTCACAATGAGAAGCGCGGGAGCACCTCTAGCGGCTGTCGCTTCATTGAGCTGAAGTGGTTTGGGTGCCTATAGTCGTCCTTTAATCAAATATTTTTGAAATTGGTGCTTTTCAATGAAGGACACGCATATCCGTTTTGAACTATAGTTCAAAGTGACTTAGGCAGGAATCCTTCACAACTGTTTGCTTCATGGCTGGGAGGTGCTGCAAAGGGGGATTTATAAAAGTTTTTATTTGGCACTTTTTGTAAAATTAGCCTGCAAGAACATGCAGATAATCCTTAAAGCAACACTCTAGTGTTAAGAAAAGAATGATGTATTCCTAATACTATAGTGTCCCTCTGCCCCCATAGTCACACTCGATCCCCACGTCTATGAGAAAAAAAAACCACAACCTTTCTTTCACTTACCCGATTCCAGCGACGATAACCCTCCGCCGATGGAGGAGACGTAATGCACAAGTTTGATGAACGCAGCTCACTCATTAGGCTTTCCTCATAGGAAAGCATTGACTCAATGCTTTTCTATGGAGTTTTACTTCAATCTGGATGTCCTCATGCTTTCGTCCAGCGTTGTTTCACAGAGTGAAACTGCAGGAAGAGCTTCTTGTGGCTGTCTGAACACTGCAATGTAAACATTCTCTAAACCAGCAGTGTTTTACATTGCAAAGTTAAGGGAACAGGGACACTGCACCCAGACACTTCAATGAGATGAAGTGGTCCGGGTGCCTATAGTGTGCCTTTAAACCAATTCAAAATAAGTGCTTTAGCGTACTGGAATTTTCCTTTTGTTTCTTTTAAAATAAGAAAGATCCGAGACCTGACATCAACATGTTAATATATTGAAATATTTTAATTTATTGGGTTTTTTTTGTTTTGTTTTTTTGTTCAGTCACCTCTGGTAATAGGTGATTGAACTCATGCATTTTCCTAATGTTATCTCAACAGTGGGCAGGCAGGGCTTGTGCAAACTACTCTTTGACACAAAGGTGGAACTGTATCCCCAAAGGCTTTAAGCATCATAACCAGTACAATATGACATGCTTCCATGTCCCTTAAATTCAAGAGATCATCACTAGCATACGAATATTGTGGTGAAGATGAAGAATTTCCTATTCTGGAATGCCTGGAGTAAAACGAATGTGTAGCATACACAATTAATACTTGCAAAGACTCTGGCTGCTGTTATTAAAGTGGCCCTTTAGTCATTTATTCCCCAGCACAGCATCTTTTTAGCCCCCTCACAACCACCGCCACAATTGTAGGACCAGTGCAAATAGCCTTTTCCAATGTTGTGTTGGTCCTGCCGTTTTTTTCTTTGACAGTGTTTCAATCTCTGTGATTCTAAATGGAGGTGGATAAGAAATCCATGTTCTGCCTTTCTATGGGCATGGGGTAAATGACGCGCATGCTCAAGAATTCCAATGGACCTGTGTTGACAATCGCATGAGACTCAACACAGTGTCAGTGACACACCTACTCTCGGAGATGATGCAACGCTGGAAGGAGGTAAGTACAGCCAATGGCAACGTCACAGGCCATGGAGCTAAAGCTGCACCCTTTGTCAACTTTTGTTAACCTGAAGGTTGTACTTAATGAGAAATAGTCCCTACTTTTTTCATTTTGTATAACCTTAGAAATAAGCTTTGTTTAAAAAAAATATAAATTGTATAATATACTCACAGTGTGGACTTACAGGATTGTCTCAAATATAAATGCACGTTTGAGACATACTTATGCGGAGTGACAGACACTTTCAGGAATCTGGGAAATCTGTCATTTATGAACTTTTTCAGACGAAATTTAAGGTTTGTTTTGAAAAGTTTGCAATATTTATAGCAAACTGGAATTGGATGGAATTTCTAGTGTATAAAATATTGAAAGCAATATATTGTAATGCTTTTCAGTTGCTTTATCCTGTGCACACCAGTGTGTATCTGCAGCAGTTTTTGTTTTATCAGGATTTGTAAAAAATAAATAAAAATGGTGGTTTAATAAAAAAATCACTTGGTTCTGATTCTGGTACAGTGTTCTTTCTCGTCCAGTAGTTAAGATTACCTTCCTTCCATTGCTTCTCTGGGTTGGGGGATTATTGTGTTTGCATACACCTGCTCCAACTCTGTAATTTCTTACTCAATTTTACAAGAGACGTGCAATCAAACAATAAATGCCAAAAAAAACAAAAACTGAAAAGGAGCATAATTTAGCTTTTTACTTGTGCAAGCTTATGCTGTTAGCTGTCTTCAGCAATTAAGTTTCATCTTTTTATTCTTACACTTTTGGTTCCTGGATTGCCTTTTCACATGCTTAAAGGGATACTGTAGTGCCAGGAATACAAAGCTGTATTCCTGGCACTACCAATCCCTCTGTCTGCCCCCTCACTGGTAAATAAAGGGTTAAAAACCCTTTATTTACTTACCTGATCCCAGCGCCGATGTCACTTGGTGCTGTGTGTAAGCTCCGTCCCTGCGGGGTCTACTGCGCATGCGCAGTAAATGACATGTGCGCAATAGACCTCCCCATAGAAAAGCATTGATTCAGTGCTTTCCTATAGTGAAAAATCTGATGCTGGATGTCCTCCTGCAGTCTAGCGTCCGATAACAGACCAAAAGTGTTACGAATCGGAAGCGCCCCCAGTCTTAGGGCTGACTTAGTGCTGCAATGTAAACATTGCAGTTCTCTGGAACTGCAATGTTTAACATTGCAGCACTAGGTGCAAACGGGACACCGCACCCAAACAACTTCAATTAGCTATAGTGGTCTTGGGTGCCAACAGTGTCCCTTGAATGATTTGTGGTTGTATTCCATATACAAAACAAAATCTGTTACAGATCATAAAATCCACAAATTCTCATATGAGCTGTTTTAATTTGGACAATACATACAGAAACAAGTCCTCAGTAGGTAAATATTTGAAGGGATTCTCTAGTGCCAGGAAAACAAACCCGTTTACCTGGCACTGCAGAATCCTGGAGTCCCCCCATCCCGAGTTAAAACTCCTTCAGTCACTTACCTGAATTCACTTCAATGGTCTGGGTGCCTAAAGTGTCCCTTTAAAAAAAAATAAAAAAAAAAAATGTGAAGGGTATAGTCATCTATTATTTTTATTGGTGTGCGCTATTTGAGACTTTTTTTTTTTTTTTTGTAAAAATCAAAAAGTCAGTGGTCTTTTGTTTTCGGGAGACCTAAGTTATGTATATACACCATTAATATGGTGTCCTATTCGTCTATAGGAAATTTAGTTCAGTGACCCATTCTTCAAGTGTTATAGGTATAAAAATAAACTGTGCAAATCACCTTCATTTGGGAAGGCAGAATTGCTATAGTCAACTCCTGCTTGTGGGCAGTTGCCCTTGATGTTGTGAATGTGCCTTTTTCCTATCAGTGAGGATTCATTTATGGGTCTTAAAGGGACACTATAGTCACTAGAACAACTACAGCTTAATGTAGTTGTTCTGGTGTGTATATGTCCCTGTAGGCTTTTTGCTTTAACCCCTTAAGGACACATGACATGTGACTTGTCATGATTCCCTTTTATTCCAGAAGTTTGGTCCTTAAGGGGTTAAGCACAGTCTTTTCAGAGAAAAGGCACTGTTTGCATTAAAGCCTAGGTAAACCTCCAATTGCAGTCACTCAGATGGCCACTAGAGGTGCTTCCTTTGTCAGCATGTGCAGCACCTACGTTCAGTGTCTTACTGCCTTGCTGAACTTTCCCTATAGAGATTGAATCAATACACCTTATTTTTATTTTTTACCATTTTTTGGGGGGAGGGGGTGTTCACATAGCTAAACTGTTTTCTTGACCACAAAGGATTCCTTTAACCCAGGGAGTTAAAAACCACTGTGCAGTCACACATTTCATTTCCAGAATGTCCTTGTATAAAATGCAGCCTTTTTTTTAACCCCTTCACAACAATTGAAAGGAAAATACCATGAAATCATTACGTTTGGACTATGTAAGTGATATTCACCTCCTCAAAACAAATCTGAATGGTGAGTGGATATTGGTCGATCACCTAATAATTTGACTGTAAAATACTGTATATTCAGCACAGAAGGAACATCACTAGATAATACCGGAAATTATAGCATTAAACACTGTTTCAAAGTGATTTTGCCTAAAATCTAGTATAGTATTACTCAAGTGAAGCATATTCAGCCACCATCCTTGTCACATAAATGCCCTTTTGTGACTGGAGTGCAGTTTTTTAAAATGGTCCCCGAATCTTTAATCTTTACAGCACAATGAAACATAGTTGATTATCTTATTATTTATTGGCAATTAAATGAAGAGATGTAACCTGTAGTATTTCCTCTTACAACTTAAAGGAGCACTATAATGCCAGGAAAACAAACTTGTTTTCCTGGCATTATAGGGTCATTAGGTCCCCTCCCTCTCTCAGGTCCCCCCTCCCGCTGGGCTCCCTCGACGCTGGGGAACTCTCCTCCTCCTGCCGACGTCAGGGCTGAATGCGTGTGCGCATTCAAACTGCCCATATTAAAGCATTATTCAATGCTTTCCTATGGACGTCAGCGTCTTCTCACTGGGATTTTCACAGTGAAAATCGCGGAGGCGGCCTCAAGTGGCTCAGTGAGACAGCCACTAGAGGCTGGATTAACCCTCAGTGTAAAAAACTAGAGGGACCTGGCACCCAGACCACTTCATTGAGCTGAAGTGGTCTCGGTGCCTATAGTGGTCCTTTAATGCTTTTGTAATATTCACCACTTGCTACAAAATGTTCATCTTCCATATTCTCTTTTGTTTCCAGAAGAGAAGTGACAGTTCCCTAATAGCTTCACTCCAGTAAATGCTATTGTTGGGTTGAATATTATTGCGCTTCCCAGTTTTTATGACTTTGTTGCCCCGTGATACCTCATGCGCACTTTATTTATATGTAGAATTAGCTATTCTTGGAGTGGCCAGTGGCTGCCAGGCTTGGAGTGCTGCAGGTGGCCTACTAGGATTGTCTCAAATTATGGCAAGCAAGGATGGGCATAGATTTGCATCAAGATGCTGTCCCATCATCGCTAAACAATGTAAAGATGAGGCTAGAACATTAGTTATGAGGGAAGCCTAGTTTAAAGCTTGGTCAATCTTGTATTCGTAACTTTAAGAGTGATTTAACGTTTACCAAAACCAATAGGTCAGGAAGGGTGTTTTTCAATGCTTTGTGATGCATGGAAAGTACATTGGTACTGATATGGGTAAGCAGATTTATTTTTCAGCACAAGGATATGTATTTTTTTTTTTTTTTTTTTCACTTGACCACTGTAAGAAAAGGAGGAAAAATGTTAACTAAATGTGAGAGCTACAATCTGACTCAGGCATTTTTTTTGCACGCCTACTGCGACAAAGTACATTATGATGCAACTGATGACCAAAGATTTGTCAGATCGAACAGTGTGGTTAGCCTAACATCCATAACATTTTTAAACACGTGGATCTTAAGGCTGACTAATCATTGATGACAAAAACAAAGCAGTTTAATTTTTTATTTTTTTATTTTTCCAAATACTGCTTCCTCATAATCCGTCTCATTGAAAATGATTGGTTAGTGCTCAAGGAATGAGATTCATTCATCTTGGTCTTCACCTCTTAAACTTGAAATCAAATTAAGCAACTCATGAAGAAGTCTGCAAAAATTAGGAGTGATGTGACTGATGTGCAATGATTTCCATTTTTGAAATGACAGTTCTGCATCTGGCTGCAAAAAGTCAATCCCCCAAAGTTTTAGAGTTACAACTTCCATGGTTCTTTGCCAGTATGTCAAAGCATCATGAAAGTTGGAGTTGTACAACGTCTAGCGATTTGCCCTTCCCTGCACCACAATCTATACAAATCCAACATGTTTTTACTGTAAACTGAAAAGGCGCTGCCAACATCTTGGCACAATTCACACGATATACCTCGCTTTCTATTTAGACAACCTGTTCAATATGTATATTTTGCTGACTTTGCAATAAACCTAATGCAACTGTAGTTGTTTTATTTCAATAATTTGTCAACTAGTTTTTCTTCCAGGAATGGCAACTGTCTCACATAGCATTTGGTCTGAGGTCATAGTTATCAGGGCAGGTTACAGCATAGTATTACCATGTATTCTGGGGATTGCACATTCTCTGGCAAGCATACTGGTTGTTGGGTTCAAAATGGCTGCATGAATGCCAAGGTATAGTGAAAGTGCAGACCTCATGATCACGTTTGGCTTTTTTAATTCCAGCTTATTCTTTAGAAGGAAGAGTTGCATAGGTTAGCATACCATCCAGTCCAAGGAGATAAATGCAAAATGGTACATATAAATGTTTGTTTGTTTTTTCTTTTCTTATATTGTTTATTGTAAATGTTATCTGTGTGTACTTTTTCAGATAAAACATTTTATTGGTTTTGCATGAACAGCAAATTATGGTTGATAGACAAGTGAAGTGTAAAACGTTTCTCTAAATGTTGAACTTTTATTGTTAAATCAACATAATTCTGTTTTACACTTTGTTAGCTCTACAAACCTTTGACACATTTTGGCCTTTTACACAACCATTTAACATATACAGGTCACCAACCTATCCTGGTAACTTAAAATGTATAGTAGTATTTTTTGTTTTCTTTTATTTAAGCAATGCAGGGCTGTAGAGTTAAATTGTGGATGGTGTGATGTGTGAAGAGGGACTAATTATGAAGATCATTTTGTTTTATCTGAATAGCTGCTGCATTTTGTTATTATAAATACTTGTAAATGTCTTGTAATATTTGACTCTTACGTAATAAAAAGGGAAAAAAAACCACAAAAAACCTGATCTGTTTATAAATATTAATTTTATTTCCCCCCACCCTCCCCCCTCTTTTTCCCTATTGTATGAAGTGAAATCTCTTTTGCTATTTCTCTATTAATGTCATACCACCTGATATCACTAGGGGAATTGTCGATAAGGCTCTTGCACACAAGGGACTACTGATTTTCCACTTTAATTTGCACTGATGAATGTTGTGTGAAAATATACTGCTTTGTTACAGCCATCAAGATAGAACAATTTAGGGCAGATTTAAGGAGCATTTCCACCTTTTTCTCTATGTAATCGCATTATTAATTTGCTAATTACAATTAAAGCCTAGACTTTGAACTTTCATTATACCTACATTGTTACATGTATCATTCTAAACAACTAAAATATTTAATTCACACTACACACAGAATCTTATTTTACTTTAAATACCATCTGTGAAGCTCCTCATGTGAAGCTTTCTATAAAGATTTTCCTTATTTATGTGCTTAAAGGGGTATGCATCAAAGCTTTTGCTTTGAATGAAACAGTTGCCTCACTTTGCAGGCTGGAAAGACCCGGCTAAGTATTATTATTCTTAGCTGCTTTCCACACCCACTCCAGGGGGATACTGATCTAGGCAAGCAGTGTCTTATCCCTAGGAATGCTGGAAAAGGGCATTGGGCACGCCTGACAAATTTATACTTGGGCAGTTGTGAGATCTCTTCACCTTGCACCATTTAACCGATGGAGGGGGAAAACTGATCGGTGTGATTCAGCAGTGCAGACTCTGGTATCACATTTCTCTCTCCTGCACAATTTTGCCCTATTTTTGTCATTAATGGACTGGTCTGAAACTGAGATGGGTATATAAGTAGGAGGTGGCTGGAGAAAAACTCCCTTAGCTTACCATCATGTCCAGCAATGCAAAGGTTTATAGTGTTTTTCATGCTTCATTTTGGTTTGTTTAAAAGCGTTTTCTGGTTTGAAAAATAATTGTCAAATGCTACATGTCCCTTTTAATGATTATGCTTGCTTGTTTTGTGGTAAATTTTTGGTTAACCTTTTGAGACTCATTTGGAGGACCTGTAAGACTTCTCATATTTGTGATAATTCATAGGCTAAAATTTGAATCTTTATGTTTTCATTTGATACAGATTAATACAAAGAACTCTGTTGCCCCATGTTTTAATTGATAAGCAACTTAAAAATGTATAGAAACTGATTATGGTGCAAATATTTCTGGATACACATTTATGTTTTGTTTGCAGTGTATTGAACATGGTTTTAAATTTATGATTGTAGACTATCTCTTGGCAGTTTTCTAGATTTTACAGCTCGTTTTATATTGGTATGGGCAAACATTTGCATCCCCCCTCCCCTTTCAAGCTATTATGGAAAAAATGGGTCCATACCGAAATGTTTTAAATACCGAGCAAGGAATCAAAATCAGTAGGGTTTGCCATATAAAAATATAGAACAGAATGCTCATGGCACAGTATATGTATTACATCAGTTTATAATAAATTATAAAAGTCAACTTACAAACAGAAATGTACATATAAAACCATGTGCAAGAAACGTTTTACCTATGCAGGACCACCACACTGTTCCACAACTGGTGAAGGATGAAGAGTCCCAGCGAATCCTATAGTTATGACTTCAGGATCTGTCTTCCAAGCAGACCTTTCGTGGAAATACCAAATGGTACACATAGTAATGAAGTGGAGGGCAATATAGACCAGGGGTAAGCAAACTACAGCCTTCCAGCTGTTGTGGACTACATCACCTTTGGTTCTTTGCCTTTGCATTATGGTTGTAAGAGCATTATGGGAGATGTAGTTCATAGGTTGCCTACCACTGATTTAGACTAAAATGCTCATCATGTTTTGTCTGAACCAAATAAAGACTTCTTCTGTAGAACTGTAAGGTTTGCACACTGGCTGTGTGCTGATGGTGCAGACACATCCGAAACATCTTCATGAATCATAGTCGCGTTCCCATGACATGTCAGTTTTACAGTGTGAATCACAAAGCTGCACATATTCATCAGTAGACAGCCCAAGTAAGAGCTGCTTGCATAGCCATGTTAATGCAGGCAATGTGGCATAGATGATCATGTGGGCATAATAAAATGGAGGCAATATGGGTAAATTTAAAAAAGACAAGAAAATAAGTGACTTAAATAGGATATTTTTATCTGCTGTTATTTGCAATTTTATGAGTAAATATATTTTGTAACTTTGAAATCTACAAAAGAAACAATCTAGCTGAATGTCATTTGGATATACTAATGAGAATTAAAAGCTATCCATATCCAGTAACTTTAAAGGATCACTATAGTGTCAGGAAAACAAACCTTGGGGGACCCTCACCCTCCCCGGGTCCCCCTCCCGTGGCGTTGAAGTAGTTAAAACTTCTTCAGCGCAGGGCTCCCTTGGTGCTGGTGACCTCTCCTCCCCTGCCGACGTCAGCTCCCGACTAGAGCAAAATGTGCATGCGTGGAAAGAGCCGCATTCTAACAGTCCATTGGAAAGCATGGAATGCGAATTTCGTATCCAGCATCACAGAAGCGCCTCTAGCGGCTGTCAGGAAGACAGCCACTAGAGGTTGGATTAACCCTGTTATGTAAACATAGCAGTTTCTCTGCTCTGAAACTGCTATGTTTACATGTGAAGGGTTAAAACCTGAGGGACCTGGCACCCAGAACAATTCATTGAGCTGAAGTGGTCTGGGTGACCATAGTGTTCCTTTAACAAAGAAAACTAAGCTAATGGGTGTCGTTGTTATTACTTTAATTTAACATTGCATTTTATGAGCATAACAAATACTCATTGACATTTTTCTTAACAGAATAACTATATGAACAAAGTATAAACATTCAATGTATAGCATAAAACCTCAACAAGTAGCTACGTAGCTTGACAAAATTATCAGGTTTACATTTGCAGAAGCATTCTGTGTGCACATACTTTTAAAACAGAAACAACATTTGCACAACAAAATATTTCTGCGCACACTACTGATAATTAGAGGGAACAGTGTTTAGGGAATATATTCATTGAGAACTTCCATGACTTTATTACCTGGTTTGACAGCCCAGCTAAACTAGTTAGGAGCCAGGATTATTTTCAACGAACAAAGCTTTATTTTAAGAATAAAATACAATTCTTACACTGACACAATAGTCACCAGAACCACTACAGATTAATGTACTGGTTCTGGTGTCTATAGTCTGTTTCTGCAGGCTTTTCAATGTAAACACTGCCTTTTCAGAGTGACTGTCTAGACTTGAGGCCTCTAGAGACGCCTCCAGTGACAGTCACTCAGGCGACCTCTAGAGTAGCTTCCTAGTTCAGTGCTGCACTGTGTCCATTGGATTGTCTGAGATCATCAAGCTTGCTTATCTCTGCCATGCCGGTGGGGCCAGCTGCAGTGAGACGGGAGTAAAAATATGTTTCCCATGCGATTTGGAGGGGTACCAGTCACCTAAACACACATTCACTCACACATTATTTGTGTTTGGTTTTAATTTAAGTCCACCCAGCCTCCCTACCTTTGGGAGAGATGGGGTGGATTCTTTCTCTGGGGACCAGTGGAGCTGCTGTCACCATCATGTACTGCTTGCTCTGCTCCCTTGCACATCGTCTTGTGATGCCGGGGCTGGAGTGTAACCATTTCCATTTATAAAAGTTGTAATGTCTGTTGAAATCGTCACTTTTTTTCAAAATCAAAGAAAGAGGATCCACTCTTCACACACAAAGCTTTTCAGCAAACTAAAATGCTTTAGAGGTCTGGAGTGTCCCTTTAATGATAAGATATATATACATAGTTATATAACGCTAAAATGCAGTAATCCAACTGATACACTGGATATGTTTGCTGTCTAGTAATCGTCGAAAGTGTTTGCTCAGCAGTATAATTATTTTGTAACAAAACTTTCATGGTTTGTAACAACTTTTTAAGGCAGCTCTGTGAGGAGTTACCCTCCTCCCAAGTAGAAGTGTCTACTTTCCTGTTAGGATATTAGACAAAAATGGTGTATACCAAGACTGTCAAAGTGCATTTTTTGTTTTTGTATGTTTTCTAATTCTCATTCACTCATATCATGCATATATTCAAGATCTTAATGTGTATGCGCTTGAAACCAGTTTTGATTGCTACTCTTCCATTGCAATAAAGATGTGATTCTATACTTCCACTATTCCGGTCTGGTTAATTGGAAAAGGGCTATTTGGCTAACACATTTAAAATTTGTTCATTTTGAATTTCGTTTGCAGTGTCTGTGCTGATAGCAGAGCCGGTGCTAAACTTCAAGGAAATAAAACGTATAATAAGAATAAGGGTTAGACCCTGCCCCCCGCTCCCCCCTCCCCATCACTCCAAAAAGGTATGCAGGAGAAGCTCTCTCCACACATACGCTTACAGACACAGATATGCACTGCAGGCACAGTCATTGATACACATACAAACAGATGTACAAAGATACTTACTGCCATTTCCCACTTTTATAATATTGTAAAGCACTGCTGAATAAATTGGTGCTGTATAAATGCCTATAATGATAATAATTTATAGGTAAGAGGATGATAGATTATATAAAGGGGAAAAAAGTCTTTGTTACATACTGAGAAATGCTGTTTATTTAAATTTCTGTTTTCCTATCTGTAATCTCATTAATTGTTAATTATTCTTTTTAAAGTTTTTCTGTCCAGGCAAAATTTTCATTTTTGTTTCCATTAAATAGTGACCTCTCTACCATACGGAAATGAAAAATACATTTAAACATTACTTTCCAGGATCCCCAAAATACTAGAATTCTTGGGGTGGTTTTTCTGCAAACCGCTTTGTTAAAAACACGTAACGAATCATATCAAGATAAGAAAGATGTATAGATATTAGATATGAGATTTAAAAAACTATATTAACTAACACAATGTATTACCAATATTACCCAAAACTCCATTAATTTTGTGCAAGGATAAAGGTTAGTGATACATCATGGAACATCCAGTTTTATTACAGCTGTGTGGGCTACGTATTGGTTATCTCTGTACTTATCTTTTAAAACACGTTATTTAACCTTATACGATAAACACAAGACGTGGAAAACTGAAGGACATAAATAATACATAACAAAAGTTGGATTCCTTTTGAAAGAGTTACGTTAAAGAATGATTTTCTTAAAGCATCACTCTAGTGCCAGGAAAACAAACCGTTTTCCTGGCACTGCAGGTCCCATCTCCCTCCCACTCCCCATCCCATGTTGCTGAAGAGGTTAGAACCCCTTCAGTGACTTACCTGAGACCAGCTTGGGTGTCCCTCGGCGCTGGTTTAGGGTCCGCCCATGCTCCTCCCCCGCCGACATCAACCAGCAGGGGAGACCGATTGTGCATGCGTGGTCGGCGGCGGTGGAGACCTAATGCACACGCATTAGACCTCTCCATAAGAAAGCATTGAAAATGCTTTCCTATGGGGATTTTAGCGACGCTGGAGGTCCTCACATAGCGTGTGAAACCTGTGCTATAAACCAGGAAGTGCCCTCTAGTGGCTGTCTAATAGACAGCCACTAGAGGAGGAGTTAACCCTGCAATGTAAATATTCCAGTTTATGAAAACTGCAATATTTACAGTTGCAGGGTTAAGGGTAGTGGGAGTTGGCACCCAGACCACTCCAATGGGCAGAAGTTGTCTGGGTGCCTGGAGTGTCCCTTTAAGGGTTGTGGTAACTGTTAGTGAGTAGAATGGGTGCGAGGGCGACTGCCCTATTTCTTTTTAGAAGTCATGTAGTGGAAATAACCTGGTTAGAAGTATAAAACTGGATATTTATGTTTACTTCTTTTTCATTTCCCTATTGATCTCAGCGTGTGCTGTTTGTTTGTTTGTATTAATTATTACTAGCATTTATAAAGCGCCAACATACTCCACGGTGCTGTACAAATGAAGAAAAAGACAGTAAAATATACACCGACTAGTACAAAGATAAAGAGGGCCCTGACCACGAGCTGAGATCTAGCCACTAAAGTACTTAGTTAGAGAACCTGTGAGTTTTAACCTTCTATTTATGTAATACATGTTTCCTTTTTGTATTAGGTGGAAGATGCTTCCTTTTTGCGAGTTATTTTCTTGGCACAACATACACACTATAATTAGCTGAGACCGCAGTGGAGATGACCCTTTATTTCCAACCAAAGTATGCTAGATGTAGGAGGTTTGGGTAATACTGGACATTTGTTTCAGGGGGAAGTTGTTCTTCACCTAGGATAACTAAAAAATGGCGTGATGTCAGAGCAGAGTATTTTTCTGGTTCTATATTAAGAACTGTCATATGATGATGCCTGGAGCGAGGAGGAGTCCATAATGTTTGAACATGCTGTTACTTTATAAAAAGATATAGCTTGAGTTCACCTATAAACTGGATGCATTGTAGCATTTTATTCATTTTATATCAATAAACAGGCTCATATAATTCACTTTTCTACAGTTCCTATAACTTTTTTCTTTTAATTTTTTTTAAACAAAATATTCAGTGTGTTCTCCTATTCGTTGTTGATGTCATGTCCTCTAAACCTGGGTGTACAAGGAGCTGTTCCTATCCAGCATTAAGGATATATTCATATTTCCCCATGAAATGCAGTTCTGTGACTGGACTGGACTGAACTGAATGTCAATCACGTACACCAACAACTATTCCAAAAAAACACTTTCTGGTTCGCCACATCTACTGGGATTATTCCAGCTATTTGGAGCATAAACTCTGTTTGACGCAATCGGATGGTTCTCAAACCATATTGCATCCCAGTGAAAACTGCAGAGAATACCGGTATCTTCAGACCTCACATGTAAAGGCTGTGTTGCTACTGTAACTAAATTATTATAGGTAGTTGTCTGGGATCTGAACAATGTGACCTCATCAATACCAACAAAAAGGAACCATTGAGAATGTATGGGGATTCTATTCTGTGTTCTGAACTAGGGGTTATGAAAATTTGTCTTAGGGGATCTGTTTTTATGGAGACTGTAAAATACATTTAAAGGGTTACTCCATGCACCATGACCATTTCAGTGATTTGAAGTACTCATAGTGCTTGGCAACTGTATGTGCAGTGTTTCGCAATGAAACTCTGCATGCATGTACACAGTTTAATATCTCTACTGCAACAGGAGTAACTACACCTCCAGTAGTCTCATGGAGCATTATTAACAAGCATTCTAGGTGAATTTTGTGCATATTGGAAACGCACAGCATGTTGACAACATGAATACAGTGGTGTTATGGCCATGGTCTAGGGTTAAGGTTAGGGTAGGTATATGGTTAGAGTTAGGCAGGGTGTATGGTTGGTATAGCATCAGCATTAACTACCAAAAATACATTGAGATTTTAGACATATTAGGCATTTAACAATCAGGACTGATATATGCATATATATATTTTTTTTATGTATTTGCACTGGATATTTATCAATTCTAATAAGCAAAAAAGTTAAAAAAATATATATTTTTCGTTTTATTTCCCATTTTTAACTTTTTATTGACACTTAATGTTTAGTTAGGTATACTTACAGGATATTAACCCCTTAAGGACACATGACATGTGTGACATGTCATTATTCCCTTTTATTCCAGAAGTTTGGTCCTTAAGGGGTTAAAAGAAAGCCCTTTCTGTCCTTTAACAAACTAAATAATATCTATAGAGGTACTTAAAGAGAAACCCTTAAATTGCGGTGGTACAAACACATTATAGGTTTTGTTTTGGTTCAGAAATTACCTCCATCCTTAAGGGGTTTTGAAGATTAAAAAACCCCCAAAAACAAACAGTAATTGACAGGGTGATTTGTGTACCAAATTAAATTAATTTACATTTAATACAAATTTAACAAACATACATCTTCTAACGCATGTAAAACTACAAACAATATCGATAATTGTGATAATAGTGATCCAGAACCACTCATACAGTATTTTACAAAAGTGAGTACACCCCTCACATTTTTGTAAATATTTTATTATAACTTTTCATGCATCAACACTGAAGAAATGACACTCAGCTACAATGTAAAGTAGTAAGTGTACAGCCTGCATGACAGTGTAAATCTTCTGTCCCCTTAAAATAACCCAACACACAGCCATTAATGTCTAAACCGTTGGCAACAAAAGTGAGTACACCCCTTAGTCGAAATGTCCAAATTGGGCCCAATTAGCAATTTTTCCTCCCCGGTGTCATGTGACTTGTTAGTGTTACAAGGTCTCAGGTGTGAATGGGGAGCAGGTGTGTTAAATTTGGTGTTATCGCTCTCAAACACTCTCATACTGGTCACTGGAAGTTCAGGACCTAATGGCAAAGAACTCTCTGAGGAACTGAAAAAAAGATACATAAAGATGGCCTAGGCTATAAGAAGATTGCCAAGACCCTGAAACTGAGTTGCAACATGGTGGGCAAGACCATACCGCAGGTTCCACTCAGAACAGGTCTCGCCATGGTCAACCAAAGAAGTTGAGTGCACGTACTCAGCGTCATATCCAGAGGTTGTCTTTGGGAAATAGATATATGAGTGCTGCCAGCATTGCTGCAGAGGTTGAAGGGGTGGGGGTATCAGCCTGTCAGTGCTCAGACCATACGCCACACACTGTATCAAATCGGTTTGCATGGCTGTCGTCCCAGAATGAAGCCTATTCTTAAAATGACTAAAAATAGGTGAACACATACAAGAATTTCAAAAAGTAAAAGAATGTCTAACAGCATTCACTTTAAGGATCTTGTATATCATCAGCAACCCTAATTAGTCATCTCTAAAAAATAATAAAATATAACTTTTAATATATAAAGCTCAAATAACTGTGAGAGTAAATTAAATATTATAATTAAAATACAAAAGTAAGAGAAAGTGATACCTTGACCGTGCTGCCTACATCAAACTGCAACACCAGTAGCACAGGGGTATAGGGTGTATAAATGCAGAGAAAAGAAAGTTAATAACGATAAATATAAAGAGGAGGTATAGTAATGATTCCCAGACGAGTATCCCCCAACTCCCATCACCCTACTCCCATCACCCTTGCCC